GAAATTCTCAAGAATACATTCTTGAAAACCTGAAAAAAGCAAACGCTTTTCCATTAGAAATAAATGCATGTTGAAGATAACTACCGAATGAAATGCAATTTGCACAGCTTTAAGTTATACAAATAGTTAACATATAAACATTAATAATGAACATAAAATCATGAAGGGCCTTCAGAGTTTCAGAAATGAAAAAAAAAACTAAAGAGGGAGAAGACGAGAAAAAACGCAGTCACTTCGACATGACATCACTGAGAACCCAAAAGTTAAATAAAAGTACCAAAGAAGAGATGAAAAAAAATTAACTATAAAACAACGAAAACATAACTTTTCCTCTTCATTTCTTCGCTCTTTATTTTCTTTCTTGGGACCTATACAAATTGGGGACAACTGAAGAAGGTGGTGTTCGGGAAGAATAAGAACCCTAGCGAAAATTGCAACAATTAAAAGTGGTGAAGTTAAATTGTTAACACACTCAAACATACATACATACACGCACACCCAACAATTCATGGCATAAACATTCATACATAAATTACACAATTTAATTGTTAACCTCTTCAACTGGCCGGTTAAAAAAAAATACAAATCCGCAACAGAGCTAAAAAATGTGGCATGTTCGCTTGTTTCGGGGTATAAATACATACAATATTGTTTATGACAGTATGACAGGTGCGTCGTTATAAACATGAAATTCCCCTTTTTGACCAAATGTTTATTGGACTTTTATGTAAAAGATTCACAAACTCATTTTAGAAGACATTCACAGGGAGTTCTAACTCGATTTAATTTAAAAAATAATGAGGGTATATTCACTTTGAGTGTCTCATAGAAAATGTATACGCACTCGTATTGAAAATGCGATATATTATTTATATATTGGGCACAGCCCCAGATAACGGTAACCCAAAATCTTCCTTCGAAAAATAATCAATATAGGTCCACTTTTTTTGCAAAATTTCGTTATTTTGGGGACTTTGGACACCCCATTCAACCAAATTGGTTGTAACTTACTTGTTTTTGAAATTTTGGCTGCACTTTTTAACCGAAATACCACATAATGGTTCCGATCGGTTTGTTGTATTTTGAATGCCCACCTCATGGCGAGGGAGGTAAAATACTGGAGAGTTCAATTGTTTTTAGACCAAATTCATTTCAGATAATTTGGAAATTTCCTGACTCATGTAACGAATGCAGTAACTTTTAAAATTTAATATTAGGTCCAAAGTTTGCACATCGTAATATTTGTGAAACGTTGGATATCGTGATATCAAGATCGAAGATAGAGTCCTCATGGTTCCACTCATGCTGGTACCTCCCCAGCAAAGGATCAACATTTCGAATAATGACACTTGATATGAGGGGAGAGAAAAATCCGATTTGATTGTGATTTTTGAACCAACCTAGTTCAGAATATAACGAGCTTTTTATAAACTAGGACGGACCTTAACTAATAACTAAAATCAATCGGGGTCTATATGACCCCGAATACTGAATTTGGGGGTTATCTTAAAAATAGACCGCTATATATTATTGGCAGAGATATTTGCTACCCAATAGTACTTCAAGGTACGAAATTACAGCCAACACAGCGTGACACAGATTGACTTCGATTGCTTTGGATATACAAATTGACACTATGGGGGAGGTACCAGAAGGAGTAGACCGAAAAGAAAAGTTTCAATGAGATTGGATATTCTGTTGGCATCATATGAAATGTACGTGTTCATACCCTACACAACTATGTTGTCAGGGTATTATAGCTTTGTGCAGACCCAAAAGTTTGTAACGCCGCGAAATATTGGTCCTAGACCCACCTTTAAGTATACCGATCGTCATATCTCGACTAGCTGAGTCGATCTAGACATGTGTGTCCGTCCGTCCGCCTGTCCATTAAATATTTAAAGTTATCTCCGTATTCGTATATTATTTAGTAACCCATTATAGCGCTGGTCGCTTTGAAATGTTCCATGAGGTTCTAGTTATGGTCAAGGACAACGTCTATAATTTTCAGTGATGATCAGATAACAATTTTGGAATGAAGTGGACCGAAGACTTAATTTTTTGTGTTATTTTCGAGTCGATGTGTTATTTTCGAGACAAATGAAAGCCGAACATCACAACACAACACACGGTGAAAGGAATCTGGACAATAGCTGTACTGAATACTCGTTATATTCGGAAGATATGTCAGTGTAAGGAAGAGGTGCTGTTTACCTCTAATCGGGCAAGATGGTGCAAATAATACGAAATATTGCCTCGGAATAAACATCCACAGAAAGTTCGATTTCCGTGGTAGTTGTGTAGGTTATCGTATGGTCGGCCCCGCCCGACTATACTGCTCCCCTCACTGATTTAAAAATGTGTTCCCTTTGTGGGGAAAGTACCATAAGAAGCGGACCGATGGGTCCGAACTTCGGAAATAATACAAAGAAAAAGTAATACGTTGTACAAAGTCTGTATATATTGAACATTCCGTTCCGCAACAAACTAGTAGCAAAGTGCAAATACACCCATTAGTCATAAGACTGAGGGTATAATGATCATTTGAGCGTACCATTATATGGACCAATATATCCCATTTTTAATTCGTACAACATTGTCCATTAAGAAGAGGTTGGTCGGCTGAGGAAACAAATAATGTGGCTAAGAAAACGGCACTGAGTCAGTCTATTAAAACCTTTTTTTAAGGTCGCACACTGACGACTGTTCCCATTAGAAAAAATCCCCGCCAAATAGTTTTGAAATATCAATGAAATATGTTAGAGCAGGGAATAAGCCCTGCATAATACATTTTTTGTTTTTATGACCGATTTTTATGTAATTAAACATTTTGTGCTTTCTGTGGGTAAAAAATCTTGCAAATGCTTCAAAATTTTTCTACTCAGGGATGGCCTATGTGACGAATTTTTAGGTTTTCGACTGTCAAAAAGGTGTAAACGTTGAAAACGTCATATATATGTATAAAATGTAATGAATATAGTAAACGTAATTTACTTGAACATTACAACCATAATCAGACATTTTCAAGAATATATATTATTTTTACATATATCTGGCTATTCCTTACTAGAACTGGTAACAAATTCTACACTTTTTGGAGAAAGAAATTTTGAAATTTGACATGGATTTGAGTAAAGCATAAAACATCTATTTTTTGCATTCCTCATGAATGACCATACACAAATGTGTGTTCCGCCGGATATAATGCCTTTTTCATATTCCCCTCAAATGACCAATTTTATTTTTCATTTTAAATTTGATGACCCACCGTCCCATGTTTACATATGCGGAAAATTGTTTATGTATTTATGCACTTATGGCCAGAACAATTGCATGATTTCGAGATGCGTTATTTGTTGTTGTTCTGTGGACGAAAGTCGGCAGTTATATACATACAAACATTTCCTCTGCATCCCCAGTCATCATGCGAACATTCCTAGGGACAATGAAAAATAATTTATATTTTTAGAAGGGTTAGAAAACCATGACTTGGAATTTGTTGCGTGTTGGCATTTTTCGTACTTTTTCTTTATTTGTTGTTGTTGATTTGCTTAACCTAAACATTCCTAATTGGCCCGTTTTAGTCTGGTGAGTGTTATGACACAATGATGTATGTGGGAATATTTATGTTTGCAAGTTGTTCAACCTATTTTCCTGGGAAATTTAGGAAGTAATGAAAAAATAATAACTTTCTCTCTGCAGAACTATTGTGGTGGTCATTAGAGCTCTAATAAAATATTTTCTGACCGAAAAGTCTGTGTCTGTTTGTCTTTCCGGGTCTTGGAGGATGGTTAATATCAACTATATTGTCGGTGTTTTTAAGGTTTTACGCGCAGTTTCAAAATGGAATTTGACATTTCGGATTTTTCCCAAAATGGAATTTGGCATTTCGGATTTTTCCCAAATGTAATTTGGCATCCCGGATTTTTGAAGGTTGATAATCAGAAAATTCTAAATATTTTTCGACATAGACGAATAGGTGACGTCACATTTTCGCCAGATTATAGGTTTTTGCGCACGATTTTCAAACCAAAATGAGTCCTGCTATAGAGTCTGCCCGTGTCTGCAGCCCACATTTCTACTGAGAAAAAAGTAAATAAAATGAAATGTTACTGTACTTTTTACATGAGTAATATAATATTGATAGGTATATGTCAAGAATAGGAAACGTTCTGACTTTTTCAATAAAAACAAGTTTCAAATCATAAATTTGATGCATTTCCCATAATTGGTCTTAAGAATCCAAATTGAACCAAACTGTTCACGTCGAAACATTTTTACAAAAATTATTACAACGAGTAAAAACTTGAAATTAAGCCTTTTTAATCTAAATGAGTATGTCCTCAAATAGATAATGCAATCGATTGCACTTATATAATATTCGCAGGTGGGGATTATTGGCGCGCTCTTGTGATACCTTCTCCACAAATTAAATTAAATTATCACAATATTCAATCATAAATTATGCTTGCATCATACCTATTATCACAGTCGTGATACCACGAAGCACGTAATTGGGTTACTGGGCTACACCAAAACGGGAACAGACACTGATAATTTCTGGTTGTGAGATTTGACACCATATAAAAATCCAAAATGTATACTTTCAGTATATTTAAATTATCGTAATTATAAGAGATAAAGATATATCAATTAAATTATCAAAATATTCAATCATAAATTATGCTTGCATCATACCCATTGTCACAGTCGTGATACCACCAAAATTTTCGCAAGTGTGTTATCAGAATGGGTTACTGGGTTATACTTTTTGCAAAACCGGGACAGAAAACCACAGATAAAAATTCTGGTTGTTTTTGAGTTATAGCGTGACAAAATTGGTGACCAAATTATTCACAATGGATTCATTATATATTTAAAAATGTTTTGAAAATTTCAACCATCCATATTAAATACTTATTTTCGGTTCAATTGTAGAGTTCTTTTCTTTTTGGAAATTAAATATTTGTTAATGCCATTTATTTTACATCCTTTTGCAGATGAGTGGTAAACGGACACGTAGTTTTAAGTGTGCCGTACATCATCGAGATCGTGAAGTCTGTTCGGAGAATGATTTTCAGTTGGTACTAGAAGAGCCGCCGTTTTTCAAGAGAATGGTTCACGTCATTGCCATGGAAGTTCTGCCCGAAGAGCGCGATCGAAAATATTATGCCGATCGTTATTCCTGCTGTCCGCCGCCATGGTTCATTGTGTGCATAACAATTATTGAGGTAAGTAAATCAATCTTTACATCTACTTAAAACAAATATATGGTGAAAATACTCAGACGTTCAGATAGTTAAAATGTTATCAAAATCGGTAGCAGACGGGTGTGAATCGAAATACAAAAATATGTTTGCCCATGAAATTTTTATACCAGCATTACAGCTAATTCGGCAGACAAATAAAAATACTAGAGTTTTTAATTTAAAATTTGGACACAAAATTGCGCACATTACTATAATGCGTCTCTATATATTATCATGCATATTTCCAAAATGATATAGCGTATCATATAGTCGCCCCGCCTGATGTTGTCTAGTCCTTTCATTAGTTTTTTTTCTGATTTGTCCATAATTGCTACAGGTTCATCCGATTTTGAGGAGAGTTTAATCAATCTAAGAGACAACTGTTATTATTAATGTAGTACTAATTTGTATACATTAAAACACTTCGAAAAAAGTTTATGAAATTTAAAAATATGTCCTTATTGTTTTTAACGCTAATATAAAGCTAATTAATTATTAGCGAAAAAGCAATGAATGGCGTTTATTTATTTTTTTTTTTTTACATTATTTACAAATGATACACAATAGTGTTAATTTCCCCCTGAAATTATGTTCATGTTGTTTTAATAACATACTTTTGTTAATGTAGGTTCTTTTGATATTCCATTAACCCTTTAAAATATGTCAATGCGGTATATGATATCCAAAAAGCAATTTAAGTTTGGTCCAGGGATGCATATTCGGCTAAATTGGTAAAATTTTATCATTGTTTGTTGCTATTATATCGGGTCCCTATGTGTTTTTGTGTAGCCCCTATATAACTGTACACCAAGCTTGACTGTTATCTTATGTGATAACATAAATATTTACTAACATTATTAATATTAGTGCACTCTTAGAGTAAAATACACCTAATTCTGTTTTTATACGAATTTGAAATAACACGAGTAAATACGAAAAAAATATTTCTATTTTTACACAACATAATTTGAAATAACACCAATACAAAAAAAAAAAAAAAAAAAAACAAAATTACTTTTTTTACATGAACTATTTATTTATTGAAGAAAATTCTGGAATGCTTTTGCTCAAACATCCCTGCCTTAATTAGAATAACAACCCTGCATGGCATGAATTTCTGATATGGCAACATTTTATATAATTCTGGTGTGTGGGGATAATTGCTACGTTTAAAACGTATTACATAAGAAGTTCATTTCATTATGCTTTAGAAAAAACTTGATAATTATGAGGAATCATCAGTCATAGATGAATGGAAAATTTTTTCTATAATGGACTGCATTAATCAAGTCAAGATCGCGTTAGATTTATTAAAGCCATCAACTTTGAACTCGTGTTGGAAAAATATTTTGCCAGAATGCGTAAAATGCAAAAATCCTGTTATTGATAATAACGCTGAACTTGCTGATACAATAACAATGGCCAATGCAATCGGTGGGGATGGATTCGATGACCTATCGTTAGCAGATGTAGAAGAATTGTTGGTAGATGAAAGCTTGAGCTTGAAAATGAAATTATAGATCTCACCCTTGAGACTCGTTATGATAAAGAACATAGTGACAGTTACGAAAGAGATCGTCCAATTTTGAAAGCATCTCTAATTAAAGAAGGTCTTGATCTCGCTACAAAATTAGGTAGTCATTTTGAACAACATGATCATGACGAGGAACGAGCTGCCAAATTTCAACGTGAACTGAAATCATTATTGGCATCTTACAGGGAAGTTTATAATGGGTTAACGCGAAATAAAACTCAATCTAAAATAACTGATTTCGTTCAAAAATCTACTGATGTCCCAACACAGTCGACTAGAAATGATAATGATCAACAAAATCATTCCAGTGATGGCAGTGATATTGTAGTCTTTCGCAAACGTTTACGTTTATTATCAGACAGTGACAATAAATAAAATTGTTTAATGTTTAAATTTTTCTTATGGTTGTACTTTATGCTATTTAAGTTTTTTGGCAATGAATTTCTGGTATTATATTTTTTATGAAATTTAATTTTAATTTATTTTATTATAATTTAGTTTATTAAATAAATTAAAACGAAAATAAATTCTTAAAATAACTACAACAATATTTTTTATATTATTTAGTCTAATTTTAACTTATTTTTTGAGGTCTAGAACCAATCTATTATTTTTGTTCTTGGCCAGTATCTTGTATTACACGAATTTCTCGGGAACCATTCTATCGTGTAAAAAAAGAATTAGGTGTAACGCTTTTGCCAAAATCCTATTACACGCTAAAAAGCTGCTTCTGTCGCACCAAAGTGACAGCCGTAAGTAAATTAGACGATTACGTAGTGTATTATAGCTGCCATGAAACGAGATATAAATTTGGCTACGGATTTATTGTTAACAGAAGAATAAAAGACCTCGTTGTTCTTCTACAGCAGTCTTATTTGTGCCCATGCTCCGACGGAAGACAAAGACGAACAGACCAAAGACATATTTTACGAGCGCCTAGAAACAGCATATGACCGCTGCCCTGGCCTTGACATTAATATTCGGATAGGAAATTTTAATGTAAAAATCGGAATGGAATATATTTTTGGACTCACCGTCGGAAAATTTAGCCATGAAGAAACATCAGACAACGGCATGAGGTTAGCAGCACCAGATTCAAGCATCTCTATATACACAAGGCCACTTGGATTTCTCCCGATCGAACAACGAGAAATCAAATCGATCATATTGTGATAGACGGAAGGCATTCATCCAGTGTTTTAGATGTTCGATCGATCGGAGGAGCGAATATCGATTCGGACCAGTACCTTGTAGCAGCCAAGGTTCGCACTCGTCTTAATGTAGCAGCAAAGGTGCGGAATCTCGACGTTGAAAATCTGCAAACATAACAGGTCGCAGAAGCCTACTCCGCTCAACTTACTCGACTGCTTGGCGAAAGCTCCCTTGCCCCGATAATAATGTAGAAGCACAGTGGCAAAGAATTTCCCACTCCCTACAAACTGCAGCAAAAGCAACACTTGGGTACCACAGATCACCACCAAGAAACCCGTGGTACGATCAGGAGTGTCGTAAAGATAGTAGCAACACGTAATGCGAGAGAGAGAGAAAGAGTTATCGGGAGAAAAGGATGGAAGGAAGATGCAGGCACATCCTTCTGTAGAGAAACGTAGTTTCAGAAAATAGAACAAGAAAAACGTGAGCGGGAGCAAATCGAGATGCACAGGAGTCGGAACGAAGTCCGGACATTTTACCAACGAGAAAAACGCCAAACCGAAGGCTTTGGTGCAGGCACATCCTTCAGTAGAGATGAAGATGGAAACCTGATGACAGATATAGTTAGTGTGTTGAAAATCTGGAAGGAGCATTTTGCAAAGCTATTTGTATCAAAACCAATTTGGTATCAGAACCAATTAGAGATGACAGTATAGAGTGTATACCACCTAGCCAAGATGTGGTCAAAATAGCAATAAATCGGCTGAAGAATAATAAATCAGCCGGTGCCGATGGAATACCAGCCGAACTATTCAAGATCGGTTGTCAGATGCTGACCACCGGTCATGAATAGTTCTCGTGTGACCTGTTTAGTATCCTGCTGGAAAAGGTCATACGAGAGGCAAAGGTGAACAGAAATGACACTCTGTACACTAAACAACACATTTTACTCGCCTACGCCGATGACAACGACATAATCGGTCGAACCCTGCGACCGGTAACAGCCACCTTTGAACAAATTGAGAAGGAGTCTATCAAAGTTGGTCTGGTCGTAAACGCGCAAGACGTCCGATAGACTCGAGCCATAAATAAAACTAATGACATTAATTTTGAAATTTGGAGAAGTATAGTGTTCGCCAACAGATGCTACTATAGTCTAAGAATGCAGTTTAGAAAAAAACCACCTCTGGTCAGACCAAACTAACTCTCTACATGACGCTGATACTACTCGTGCTTGTGTAGGGATTAGAAGCATATACCCATGCTCAGATGAGTGTTTGAGAGAAAATTTCTCCGAAAAATCTATAGGTCGATCTGTTGTACCATCTATTCTCAGACATCGACATAATTAGACGGCTAGGTCATGTTGTGAGAATGGAAGAGGATGTCCCAGCTTATTAGGCATATAAAAGCAAGCCTACTGGAGGCAGGAAGAGGACGAAGCGTCTCAAAATACGCGATCTCGGTTAAAATAACAATGGATATTTTATTATTTTATACGAAACAACATCAACTCAAGAATTTCTCTCAAAATAGAATATTTTAGTATAAATGACAAAATGGGATGATGATGGGATCTGTGAATATACATTTATTTCAAAATTATTTTTTGAGACTCAATTTATGAAATTATTGAGTCTCAAAAACCTTATTTAAATCATTTTGCGTTGCCTACTTCTAGGCAACAACAGGCGTTAAAAAGGTTAAAAACTCTTTTTGGCCCCTGGTTGTTTATTTGAATATTGTCGTTTGTTTTTATGATCATCATAAATCACATTAATGAACAGTGCACCACTGCTGTTGTTTTATTAGCAAATAAAATAAAACATTTTTTTGTCAATGGAAAACTCTCTAATACACACGACAACAACATAAACTCACACGTACACACGCGCATGCAAACAAAAAACTGCCTCGTAAATGGCTTATTAATGCTCATCAATAGTTTATTAAATATGCTATTAAATAATTTGTTTATGCGGTACAAATGAAACAAACAAAAAAGAGCAACTACATTGTGCATGTATGCTCATGCTCACACCTGTAGTTACGATGATGGTTCAAAGGAATTAGCCGATCCAACAACCCATTCATTCATTGTGTTTTATAATAATTTCATAATTGTTGTGTTTTATTTCATGTCAACGATGAGATTTGAATTTTAATTTCAAAGGGGATACGACAATATGCTGGACGGCCTAACACAACTCGGCTATATGTTTGAAACCGCCTATACAAATATCATTTGTTTCTGTTATTTTTTTTCTAACATTTCACACATAAATCTATTTCTTAA